ACCCGAGGCGCGTGGGCGGCAGCACAGCCCCTGAGCCCACCCTGGCTCTGGAGGGGGGACCCCAGCCTGCACTCCCCCCCCCCTCCAGCCCCTCCTAGCCACGGCCCCCCCACTGTGTTTCCCTGCACATTTTGGGGTGACTCCGCAGCCCTGGCAGAGCTGCCGGGGAGCCCGGATGGCTGTACCCCTGCCACCCCGTCTTGCTACTGGCACCCACCCAGCCCTGGGGTGCCGGCTGGGCTCAGCAGGCACCCCAAAGCCTCACCGGCACCCACAGCCCTGCAGGCATCTGCAGCCCCACGGGTACCCGCAGCCCCAGTGAGCACCCACAACCCTGGAGGGCACCTGCGGCCCTGTGGGCACCTGCAGCCCCACTGAGCACCTGCAGCCCCACAGGCACCCACAGCCCTGTGGGCACCTGCAGCCCCACGGGCACCCATAGCCCCAGTGAGCACCCACAGCCCCATGGGCACCCACAGCCCCGATGAGCACCCGCAGGCACCCCCAGCCTCATGGGTGCCCACAGCCCTGCTGGGTGCCCACAGCCCCATAGGCACCCAGCACCCCACGGGCACCCACAGCTCCACGGGCACCTGCAGCCCCATGGGGACCCCGCGGCCCCGTGGGGCCCCGCAGCCCAGCGAGCAGCCATACCTGCAGTGCCAAGGAGCAGGAGCGAGGCCACGCAGCAGCAGAGCAGGTTGAGGCCCTTCATGGTGGCTGCCAGGAGCTCCCTGCCGCTCGCTGCCTCTATTTATAGGGGAGGGCGGGGGGCAGGGCAGGCAGCTGCCGGCACGGCCAGCACAGATGCTGCTGCCACCACTTGCCCGCTCCTGGGGGGCCCCGGGGAACGGGGCTCAATGGCAGTGCTGCAGCACCAAGAAGGCTTGTGTCAGAGACGTGATGGCATGGGACACCTCCTGGCATGGGGTCCCTGGGGTGGCGCTGCCCATGCGGGGTCACCGTCCCCCGTCACGGCATCCCGCTGGCATGGGGTGGGTGCCCCCAAGCTCCTGCAGCCCCTTTTTGGCAGGAGCAGGATTCCATGGAGAAGGGAGAGTCGAGCATCATGGCACCATGGTGTCCCCCATCTGTCCCCAAAGGCGGGTGGCCCGGGGCACCTCATCCTGGGCTGATTTGGGACACCCTTGAGCCACCATGGGACACCAACCCCAGGTGTGCCACACACCCCATAGGCAAGGGGACATGTCCCCTCCACGCTGGTGGTGTCCCCAGCACC